AAGAGTATATGAAAAAATAAACGCAGATAATGCGATTAATTAAAAAATTAATATAACATCCTACACAAAATACCTCAAATGAGCAACATGGACGGCTTTCTGCATTTTGTGATGGCCTTATCATCTGCTGCAGGCTTCCATCTTGGATAATCAAAAGAAATGTAAAATTCCAGGTGACATCAAATCTTCTTAAATGTACTTACGCTTACCTGTTACTGAGTTTGTCCAATAATATACCAGCAACAACCCAAAGGCTAAAACTGCTTAAGGCTCCCTAAGCACTAGCTATCACCAACATGGCGAGGTTTTGCATATTATCACCACACATTTCTTGCTTTCCGTGTGTCATTTCACACCACTAGAATATTTGACGCAAACAGCAAGAGTTGATTTAAAAATAAAACTATAAAATAAACTTGTGTGGTTGCTGTTCATAAGAGTCATTCAGTAGCATGTTTGTCATTTTCAATCAAAAGTGGGAGCTGCTAGGTAGCAAGGTGACACTAAACACTGACCAACAGCTGGTGCTACAGGATAGCAATCAACAAGCAGGACAATGAAACTTATTTTACTCATATTTGAGGTTTTTCATCTTAATAATAACTTTGAATGGGACCTGAGTTTGAAATCAGCGTTAGCTTAACAACCTCCAAAGTTGGGGCACTTTCAACCCAAGGGGGCAGGAAAAGGTGAGAGGATGTAGTTTGCATAAATGATACTTTGGCGCCCTCTGGTGGCAGAAACATTAACTGAACGACACAAGTTTGAATTGACGCACAGTAAATACATGCAATTGTTTAGATGCACATGAAGTTGAACTCGTGTAGTTTCCAGCACAACTTAGGCTGAAGTTGCATTATTATCTGCCACGGTGTCTTTTGTGAAGGGTGCCAAAGTAAAGGAAATGTTTGGTTTGTATATTGGTTCTCCTCTCTTCAGCAGCACGTGCACTGTTGTTTAGGACAAGTGAAGTAGAAGACCAATCGAAGACGAAACCACGGACGCATTCTGCTGAAAGTCACCAGTTAACACGGTCAGTTAACACAAAATGCTTGCTGCTCTGTAACACGTGATCCTTTCCGATTGTTGTAGAACTTGGGTCCACTGTTAGAATATAGATCTTTACGACTGAACATGCAACAACCAGAGCCTTTGATGCCGTTTCAAGTTTGTTTAAAGTTTGTTAACTCATATGGATGCCCGGTGCAAAGCGCTACTTCTGTTGCCAACATGGCAATGCATATTTCTGATGACGTCGGCTGTAAAAGGGTCTCGAGTTCATGAAAAAGTATTTTCTAGGCCCACAAAGCCAGCAATCTAGATTTACATATACACACACACACACACACACACACACACACACACACATACACACACACACACACACACTACCTGTCCAGCAACCAGTGAGGCTACTCTACATTAAATGAAGCCTCATAACACTGCAGCTACCCACAGAGAAATGTATAGGCTAAGCTACAGCAACATGGAAAAAAGACAAAAAGACTGTATATAACAAGTGGAGGCAGTCATCGTGACGTCACACACTGGTTTGACTGCAATTTTTAAACCTTGAATTGGGCGTTTTGTCCGTCACCATCTTGGTTTTTGGTCATCGCCATGTTGTTTTTTTGCAACCAGAAGTGACAGGAGAGGATGAAGCTGAGACAACTGAACACTGAATACAACATTTTTAGGCGACCAAAATGTTACAATTAACTGTTATTAGCTAAAAACACATTTAGCGCCCGGCTGAGAGTGCTGACTACAGACTACAGAGGTTAATAATGACACTTTTAAAGAACTGACCTGAAACCTAACCTCATGGCTCCAAATGTCCCGATAAAATACAAAACAATGACTTCTTGGGTTTCGTAGTAAACACTGTTGATTTATGGTATGTGGTGAGTTTAACATTTATTTTGTCCTTGATAAAAGTAAAGTTAGGAGACAACACTGAAAAACAAGTTAAACAGCAGTAATCTCAGATGAATCATGTCGAGTTTGAAGACTAAAATAAGAGTAAATCTGTCCAATATTCATCATAGGGAACAAGAGGTGTGATGTAATATATATATATTTTTTTTTGTTATTGTAAAGAAGCAGGACATTGGTAGTTATGACAGAACGGTTGATATTTACAAAGTGTTTCGTCGCCTTGCAGTCACATGAAATGCAGTTCATGAAATATTTGCTAGATGGAGCTAAAGACAAGGTGAAGATGGTGCTCAGCATTCTCCTTGTCCTTGTCTCATGGGTTATCTGCAGGTTGTCAAGACATATGAGTGTGTGGACACTGGTTCATTACACCACATGTGGTTATTGAACAGTGGATTCTAAGACCATGCGCATTGATCTGCCTCCACTCTGCTGGTTTCAGCTCTGCAGGGATTTACTCCCAGTCAGCCATTAGAGAAGTCCAACATTGATGTTGACGGGTTCATACGTTCTGCGCTCCAGTTCATCTCAAAGGTGTTGGGTGGGGTTGAGGTCGGGGCTCTGCACAGGACATACCACACCAAACATGGAGATACAATCCTCTATGAACCTGGCTTATTGTAATACAGGGACATTGTCATGTCGCCACAAAGCTGGAAGCACACCGTTGTCTAAAATATTTGGTTTTCCCTTAAAGGTCCTACAAACGTGTTTTCTCGGCCACCTTCTTATACGAGCGATTGGATCCTACACAAACACTGTTTTCTGCCAAAGTGTTGCTATGTATTATCTGTATTTCTTCTTTTTTTAATCTCTAATCTATTCTTGCTGGTTTCAAGCGGTGGTAGCAGAGTTGGAAAAAGGAGACGTCTTTGATGCACAAATTTGGATTTGAGTCAGAATCTGATGACAGTTGGTGGGTTGTTTGGTCACTGTCGATCAAATCTGGTGAAACCAGACCCACACAGTCCTGATAAAGCACAACAACAGGCGTTTTTGAATGTTAAACTTTTAATAATTAATACATAAAGATGTTTTTTTCTCCATGTTTAATTTTGTAGAGAAATAGTTCAGATTTGAAGCCCAGATTTCAGGGGCTTTTAACTGAAACTACAAAAACAGCCCCAGAGTGCACTGAAGTATCTAGATAGGGGTACTTTTTTACACTATCACTATCGTGGTAGTTTTGGTTGTTGTAATTGTTTCTCCTCTCAACAAAATCTACAGTCCTCATTCTGTGCAAAAATGGTTTAAGAATTAGAGAAATCAATTGGGTATCTTAGAAAGTTACATTTTATTTTACAAATACAAACAATTAGAAGATCCTTCTATGTTCCATCACATTGTTTGAACACAGAAAAAGGACCGTGTTTCTATGTCCACAATCTCTGACATTTAGTTGACATTAGAATGCATAGTAAAATGTGCAAGTCAGTATTGTTTTAAAACAGTAAATATATAAACCTACCGCTTAAATCAGTGTTTCAAATCCATATTTATGCTCATAATAAAAATTAGTGTTTCTAACATGAACCATGACTCAGAGTTATTCAAAGAGGCAACTTTCATCATTAACTTAATGTCACAAGAGCGTGAGAGTGATGAGCAAACGTATACATTTCCTGTTCCGATGGTTTATGTGATGGCTTTCTAAGATAACATATCTTCCATTTGGGGGATTAGAAAGCTTCATGAGTTATATCTTAAATGAAGATCTTTGATTGGTTTTCAACTTCAGCAGTAAACAGCCGAGCAACATTTGCCCTGGCTGTCAAATACAACGATCTTTCTGAGTGAACTTATTGATGAAATGGCTGTTTTTGTAGTGTGAAAGGGCAACTCTTTATAAAACACTTCAATTTTAAATGGATAGACCTTCTAAAAATGTTCAGTTTGTGCAAACGGGGTCTTTAAAAAATGTGATTTACTGTGCAAAGCTCAGGAAACACATTACTGATTAAAGATGGAGGGATGAAAAGAAAAAAAGAAGTAACACTAAAATGATAAATGGAAATTTAATGAGTTTATTATTATACCTTACTGCAGAAGCCTTAAACTACAAAAGCCCTTAACTATGGAATACCTTACTGCAGAAGCCTTAAACTACAAAAGCCCTTAACTATGGAATACCTTACTGCAGAAGCCCTAAACTACGAAAGCCCTTAACTATGGAATACCTTACTGCAGAAGCGTTAAACTACAGCAGCTGAAACTGACATGATTCAAACATTTGTTATCTTGAGATCACAAGTTAATCATGTCATTAACTCTAGACACTAAAGCTTGTTTTCTCAAGTCAATGACATAATTAACATGTGATCTCCAGGTAACGGTATAATGTTTGAATCATGACTGTTTAGGGCTTCCGTAGAGAAGCAGATACGTGATACACAACTCCCTTTTAAGTCTACAGAGGTTGAAGATTTTCATGTCAAAAAAGAGATTTTTTGGCTTATTTTTGTGATTATTGGAACAAGATGCAACCACAGAAGTCTGTTGATTCCAGAGTAAGTAAACCTGCGTCTTGATTTGGGTCTTAGCGAAACCTTTCACACCATTGATTTGTTTTGTGAAATGTTGCTTATTTTTTGCTCATTTGCTTCCTGAAGTGTTCCGAAACATGAAATGAAGGGAGATGATCCTCTAGCTCAACTACACTATATCCCTCATGAATCAACTTGTTGCACTAAGTACAAGTATACAAAAAAAAAAATTTGATTCTGTTGCTCAGAAGATTATTTGAGTAGTTTGTGGTTTAGCCCAAAATTACAGAAAAACGTTAATTCGTTCACCTTAAAACATAATTATTCAGTTCTTATTACGATGCACGCCAGGTCTGGAGAAAGAAACTAACATATTTGAGTTAAGACGTGAGCCAAAAAAATCGACTTGCACAGAAGCGAGACCCTTGTGATATTCACACAGGAAGGAAACAGACGTCAAACCTGCCACTGTTTGGTCCCCTCATCTGTGCCCGAGCCTGCACATCTTCACATAACATGAATGTTTGTGGTGTACTGAAACAGAACATCGCTATGAGGGTGTCAAAATACAACGATGCAAGTGCACTGCATCGTGCTCTGTAAGCTTAATTCTAAAAAGTATTCTTGTTCCTCACATTTCTGCTCCTTTGGAGAGTGTAACTGCATTTGTCAGAGTACAAAGCTGCCTGTTTCTAGACTTCTGCTGTACCTCAATGGAATATATGGAAATTATCAGGAGAAACACCACATTTTGAGTTGGTGTACTTATCTAAATACTTTCCAGTGGTCATGAACAAAACTCGTGTGGGTGTTCATTACATACTCAGACATAAAACACTGTTAATGAAAATCAACTTAAATTATATCTTTATTCATTTCCAACCATTATATCACACATTTAGACATCAGATCCCAGATCCACCCTAAAATAAATATATGTTTTTAAATGGTAACACTAAATCAGCTTGTTAGTGTTTACTGACTTTATCTACATTTATTTAAAAAAAAAAAAGGCACAATATTTCGTTACACATGTGTCTGGAGCTTGCTTCACAAATTTCACAACCAATTTTAAAGCTGGCATTAATGAGACTGTGCAACGTTTTCCCTGGGTTTTGACTTTGCAGACCGTTTCATATCAAGCTATTCAGTGCAGGTATTACACGTGATAGCAATGATACAAGGAATCAAAGAGATGAGTAAGATTCAGAGACACGAGTATCATTACTACACTAAAACACACAAAGCCCTCAGATCTTGTAGAGACCAAAGAAGTTGGCGTAATGAGAGTGACTAAGATATAAGGGGTGCGATACATTCACAAAAACTCTGTCGGGCGCCTGCAGCTGCAGGGCAGAGGCGAGGTAACTCTCTGTGGTCCAGGCGTGCCCCTGCTGCTGAGAGCAGAAACCCGCTTTGTGGGCCTCCATCAGGTTCAAAGGCGAGGAGCGCCCCGTTCTCCTCACGAACACAGAGTGAACGAACGAGGACGAGGGCGAGCAGTCCTTGAAGATCAACTCCACGCGCGAGTAGACGTGGTAGAGTCCGCTCTCGTTCAGTTGCAGGCCGCCGTCTTCAAACCTGTACGCCACCGATCCCGAGGTGAAGGCCCGACCCACCCGCGGCTCCCATCGTAAAGTCTGAGGGAATTTTTCTATTTCAATGCGCCCTGCAGGAGAGGAGGAAAGATGTCACCCCTTACATTCATATGCAGGATGGACTATTAAAGAGTAGATGTTACATTGTTATTATCATGTTACCCATCACATGTGCTGCAGGTCTGTCTTTTTTCTCTTCTCTGTTCGTCTCGGGTTCGTGAGCTGAAACAACCAGATAAGAGTCACATCTCCTCTCTCCCTTCACTTCATTGGGAACATTTGCACTTTGTTGGGAATAATTCCAGCATGGTGAGAAAGGTGTTTATATTTACCAATTTGCTTCTGAGGCGTATCAAACTCAGTCACGGGTTTAACCTTTAGCGAGACAGAAGGAGAAACAGAGAAGTCTGATTACCACATCACACAGACATTTGCTTTCTTCTAGAAGCACTCAGAGAACATCAGAGAGGAAATCCTGTCTCACTGGGCAGTGACCACAGATGGAACGATTAAGTCCCTGGTTAGCATTTCTAAATGTCAGAGCACAAGTGGGGTAAATTAACTCTTCAAATGATGGCAAAGTAATTATCAAACTTTCCAGCTTGGTTTTCCACTCTCCCACCTTACACCTCTCGATCACCTCCTCTCTTTGCAAAGGTGAGAGAAGTCGCACCTTTTTTTTTTTTACTTATTTGCATCCATTAAAACTGCAAGAAGAGATGGTCTACACAAAGTAATGCCATTAATATTGACATTATTTCATCACAATCACTACTTAATTATTACTTCATTGCTTATTTTGAGAAAAAGTAGAGTGGCAACTAACGATTATTGATTAATCTTTTGATTATTTTCTCAATTAACTTCGTAGTAAAACCTTGTTTTGTCCACAACTCAAAGTAATTCAGTAAAGAAACCAGAAAATATTCCCATTTAAGAAGCTAGAATCAGATCAGTTTTACTCAAAACCGATTATCAAAAAAGTTGGCGATTAATTAAATAGTTGACAACTAATTGATTAATTTTTCCAGCTCCTGCGGAGTCATCACTTCTCTAACTCTTGACCTTCTCATCTACACACTGCGGTCACGAACCTCCAAACTATCTACCTGCACACACTTCTGCAGTTATCATTAGCTTCTTTCACTTCCATATCCACAGCATCCTGTTGCTCCCTTACCGTTTTCATCTCTCTCAGCTCTGCCTTCATGTTGTTAATCTGGTAGGCTTCGAACCCGAGGGCCACAAACACAAGCAGGAACAGCATCAGCACGATTAGGGCCAGACCGGGGCTGACTCCCATGCAGCCCCGACTCTTCCCCCGGCTCCTCGCCCTCTCCTGGGCCGGCGGGAAGGACCAGCAGGGCACGAGGTTCGGCTGCTGTCCAGAGTGCTGCGGTCCGCCGCTTCCGTCCACAAGGAACACCTGCGGGAACGGATAGCTCTGGGTGCTCTGGGGGCTCTGGTGGTCATAGCTCATGGTGCAGGTCCTGCTGTGAGACAAACTTGTGTATGCATCTGTTGCCTCTGCACGAAGGAGGTGTGTACTTTAATCTGTCTTCACTTCAGCTGTCAAGCCACTCACCACCCACAAACCCCTCCCACAGGAGGACAAGTGCACATTAACTTACACAAACCAAGAACCCTTCCACTCATCCCCCTCCACCTGAATGCATAGTATGAAGAAGTAGTTGCTGCATGATATTACCATAAAACTACAGAACTTTATCGAGCTTTATCACACAGTTTGGGTCTTTCATGCGCTTCCTATAGTTCAACCTTTGCAACGTGAGTGAAGACAAACTGCAGCTCAGTCTGAAGGGAGGAAGCTAGAGGTTTCAGCTGACCCCCACCTCACTAACCACCATCAAGTCATCATCAGAAAAGAGACCTTTTCACATATTCCACGAAAGGAAAGAAAAAAAAAAAAAACACGACCACATTCACCTACCCAACATCTTCTATGCATTGCAACAGGTAACATACTTTGTAATGTTGCTGGGGATTTATTTTCCTCTCAGGTTTGTCACATCTGAACCATGCTCTGAATCTCAACATGTATCTTTATTCAACCTGTTTTAAAATAAAAAGCATTATTACTATTATCACGCTGTCAGTCTTTATGAGGATTAGCGCGTTAGTAAACAGTGATACAACAGTTTCAGCAGCACACTGCGTACTCTTGGTGGGAAGATGCTGCTGCCACATGAAAAGGACATATATCTCAGCATTGGCTTTCTTGTTTTTGAAAAGCTGGCAGCGAGAGACAGCGATACTTTGCGGAGGTGAGAATTAACCCCAACCAATACCTCACTGATGAGCTTACAGGAAAGCTGAGCATGTACTCGCACTCAGTGAGGGGTTAATACCGCTGCGGTCTCTCTGCCACCTTAGGGTTCGTTTCGTAGGATACAGAGCAGTTACTTCATTGTGGTTGCAACGGTTTCCATCAGACATCATTTCTGTTAATTCTAGAAAAATCTGCTTACATATATTTATTAGCACCATCAAGTGGGCTCTGGGTTTTAATAAAGGGAAGAGCAGCGAAGGTTGCTGCAGCAGTGATGTCTCTCACAGGGCTACACTTTGACAAACCGCTCCGTCAAAGTCAATCTTGTATATTGTGTATAAGTCAGTGGCGGGCCGTGTGTTTTATACCTTCAGTGCTGTCCTGCTACAGTTCAACCACCTCCTGATAACCTCATTATGACGCCAGCATGACGGGATGCTGCGTCATTAATGGACAATGCATAGAGTCAAAATATATGTAATTAACACAATGACAAGAACAAACTCACAAGAACCAGTCACATATATTTATATGACAACACAGCAGGTAGAATAACACGATTCAACAGGCCTCTGCACATTCCAGCAAAACTGTGGCGCTAAAACACGCATTCCGCCAAACACTCAAGGGCACCATTCAAATATTATTCACATCAGAGGAACAATATTAACCATATCATAAAAACGACACGATAGAAACATTAACACAGCAGTAACGCTATACTGCAGATGTAAAAACAGAAGCAGTTCACTCACCAAAGCTGCTGTTCACTATTTAAAGACAAAAGTCCATCCTCCTTTCTTTGTGAACAAAGAGTTCAATGACGCGGTTCAGAACATCGGTGCGGTTCAGTTCCAGTAAGAAGTCCTTCTCGATTCATGGACGACAGTGAAGACAGTCGAGCCTCCCCAGTTGTATTTCTGGAATAGATTTTAATGCGTTTGAGAGCTGAAAATGTCGGCTTGACAGAGGCAGCAGATATTGGGATTATCACCGCCCAACATGCCAAAACGCTAAAAATGTAACGTCACGTAACAACTTCTTACATATCTTTAAACTTTAACTCTTACTACTACAAAGCTCTGCTAGCTAGCTTCACAAAAGTCACACTAGCCCACTGACCAATCACACTGCACGTTAATGCTGACGTACTTGTAGGCCAGCTAGAAGGCTCTGACATGTCACAGAACACACCCAACATGTCAAACTAAAGATCTGATTGGTTGAAGAATATGACAATCAACAATATCGTCCCCATTTATTTAAACTGCACAGGGTCTCCTGCAGGACCCGGGCAGATGTTTTTACATCATCAGGGCGAAATCTGATAGAAAAAAAGCACTACTTAAAACAAGCAGCGCAACTGAGGAAGACAGTAGCTGTGCAATGAGATAATAAGCTAATGGGAAAAAATATTTAGAATACATGTAGTGTATTTATGACAAATAATTAAATTGGAAAATAGCTATAACTGTGTGATTCTGTCTAGGCCAGCAGAGAAGGCTTAGCTGGCCCACCACTTGTGTGTTTTTTGCCACCTGCAAGAGAAGCTCTCAGACCTCTGCTCTGTCCACTGTTGCAAAAAGTTTCATTTTCTCTCTCAAGCGCCCCTGCAGAGACGAAGGGAAACCCACCTTGCAGTGAGTGTGCACACAGAGCTCCAACTGAAAGGGTAACCACGTCAAACTCAACCATAAACTGCACAGTGTCTGCAGTCTACAAGATGATGAGGCTGTTTCCCAGAAGTGTCATGCGGTCCTCGCAGTAGCAGCGGCGGCAGCACAGGGTGGGTTAAGTGGGAGGGTGGCGTTGTGGGGTCTAACCAGGTCATGTTCAGTGCTGCTGTTCCAGTTCATGCAGCCAGACGAGAGTAAAATGAATAACTGAATCAGCAAGTATCTCTACTCAATTACCGTCTGTTTCTCATGGAGTCTCCCTCCTCTGTGTTGCATAATGGAGATCGATGTGGTCGCGATGACTGATTGCACAAACGGAGTAGTGCCTGAAAATTACAATGAACCCGTCAACCTGAAATGAACGACATTACTCATGTCTTTTCTTGCACACATACACTTTTCCTTTATGCAGGTCTTGTTAGCGGGGCTTCAATATTCAGCTGTTCTGTATTCCAGATATTGTGATCCACATGTCTAATAGTCTAATATGACACCACTGAGGATGCCTTTGAATGAATACAGAGCATCAAAGTGTTAAAAACGGGAATCATTCAATTTATTGATGAAAGAAAAACATCACGTGTCCTCATCGGAGGAAGAGTAACAGTCTAGTCCCAGGACATGACCTGTCCTCTCCTCCGTTGTCCCAGTGTTGGACGACTTCCCAGGTTTCCTTTCTGCAGCTTCACAGCCTGACTTACGGTCTTTGACGTTCCGTGCGTCTCTGCTCTGGGTTGAAAGCGTCTGCCTCACTGAGGCGTTACTCAGGTTTGGCAGGCCGGACTGCAGCACCCGGGCTAGGCTCTGTGTTTGAGAGGAGTCTCGCTGAAGTGGCGGCCCTCTGAACGCGGCAGTGGCCACCGCCAGCCTCGTGTGGTCAAAGGAGAGGGGCTGGTCCTGGTCTGAGGTTTCTGAGTTTGGGTTGGTGGGGACAAGGGTTTGAAACCTGCTCTGCGAATGGCTGAGAGGGGACTTTCTCTCAGGGGCTGAGGGTTTGTGACATCCTGTCCAACTGCTGGCCGAGTCACTCTCACCTCCACTCTGACCGCTACCATCATGTGAGTCACAGGGCCGAGGGTGTTTCACTGTGAATGAGAGTGAAGATACATAGAGGGATGAAGGGTTAGCTACTTCTGGCTTCAATAAACCGTTCACCCAAAATTAAATTCAGTCAGAAACAAAAGGATATTAGACCAGTAACAGCAAAAACAGTGTTCTCAAGTCTAACAATCACACATTGGTCCAGAGTACTACAGTTTACTTTCTCCCGAGGCTCTACCTGTCCTACAGTCACCTGACAAAAGTGTTCACTGCATTCATGTGTGTCTTAGAAACTCTAAACATGAAATATTTGTTCAGACATCTTGTTGTATAAACATTTTAGAGAGAAACTCCTCAGGACGTAGATCTGTTCTGTCGTGATAAACATTCTTGAATGAACTATTCTTTAAAAAGAGTGAAAACATGATGATGATTAAAACTATATCTAATAAGAGCACAAACTGTTACTGTACGTGAGAGATTATTCACGAGCTTTAACACACTGACCGATACTTGGAGAGCCCTGTGTGTCTGCTCTCCTCTTGCAGTATGCTCGAGGAGTCCAGGGCTTATGTTTGCAGGCGGGGTCCAGAACTCGTAGTTTGGTGATGAATCTTTTGTACTCTCTTTCCAAGGCCTCGATGTGCTGCTGGAACTCGGCTATCTTCCTCTCCGGGTAATGAGACAGCTGCGACTGCTGAGAGGGAAACGACAAAAACAGACATTTAACTTCAGACAGAAACCTTCTCCATGGAATCCATCTCACACATAACCAACAATACACTCACCTGCAGATAATACTCTATTTCATTCTTGATGCTGGGGATCCACTTTTTCACAGAGGCGACTGAATTAAGAGTAGACTGCAAAAGAAAAGGGATGGCTGCAACAAACTAGTGAAATAGTAGAAGTGAGTTGAGGTGAAGTGCGTCTTCATTACCAGCTTGGGTCTCCGCTCATGTACATCCTTGAGGCGTCCCTCTGTAAATTACATTTTAAGAGAAAACATTAGTTTTGGTTTCGTGAGAAGCTCAGTATTTACTCTGAGCAACATGGTGAATAATAAAAAACAAACAAAAACACGGTGGCTGGCCTAGAACAAAAATCCAATAAATGGTTGTAACTCACCGAGGAAAAGGTGCATATGTACCAAACCTCACACAAAGAGCCACAACACCTAAACATCTTTTCACAATTAAATACAAACAACAATCCCCCTTGTTGACTACAGAGTTATTCAACAGTATCTCACTGGTGGGGCTCTTTTAAATGTCACATATGGTATACACAAACACAGGAAATGAATGCATAATGGTGACTTTACACTGCATCAGAAAGAAAGGGCAGGTTCCCCTGAATCATATGATGTATGACACCTAATACTGACAGAAAGAATAAGCTCAGAATGGGCATAAATATAAAACAATATGACGGCATGGTTAAGAGATAAATCAGTCCTATAAAGAAGGGATAAGTGCCTTTTAATATTACGTACATAAAGCACATTAGTTTTCTTCTTTCCTTCATTGAAACCAGTTAATCTAACGACTGTGAGTTAGCATCGCTGGGACGTTAGCTAACAGTTTAAGCTAGCTGTAGGTGTTTTTATCGGTCAAATATTAATAAAATGAAAGTATTTGTTACTGCGGGCAGCTGCGCACCTTCCCTCTCTTTCTGCAGCCACAGTCTGTTCAGCTTCCCTTGTTGTTTCTCCTCGTTTCGTGCCATTTCAAACTTTACTCCAGGAGAGTCTGCAAGACTGCGGCGGCTCACGCAACAACAGAGACACGTGACGCATAGTGGCCGTCACGTGACATAGAGCAAGCGCAACTCCCGACGTCATTGCACGTGGAGCTGTAAACCCAAACCACAATATGACAAAATATATATTTTTAAGGTTCAACACAAAACAAAATTCTCAATTCTATTTCGTAATTAATCTCATTATAATATTGGCCAGGTTATACATTACGTTTGCTAAATCTAATACATACATATAT